CAATATAAAGGCTACACAGATGAATACAAGTTGTTGGTTTTTAAAAAAATTAAGAACCTGATTAAGAACCTTGTTAGCCTAATTTCACAGTTAGCACCATTTATATGAGGAACTATGAGGGCTAACTAGAAAAAACTTAGGTCTATGGACTTTAAGGGTGCATATAATGGAAACAGTGTTGTCAGCACGCAAAGTTTGACCTGGTCTGCCATCTACAGCGTCATCAGTTTTTGTTTGCTTATTTGAGTAGACCTTGGGAAAGGTTTGTATTAAGATCTATTCCACTCACCTTTCTTTGGTGCACAGGAAAGAATGTTATTAATTTAACGTTCAACATAAACTGGAGAGCAAAATCTTCTAATTTGTTTGCTTTTAGGGTTGTTCCAAAGCACTACAAGATTTTGTGAAAGGGAAAATGGCTGTCATTGGAGGAATAGGTGTTGGAATCGCCATTTTGCAGGTAAGTTTTGCCATCCTTTTTAGCCTAACTGGCATTTTATTTTTCTGTTTCAGTTACCTTGAAGCTGAAATCAAATCAGTCGCATTGTAGATAAGGAGCCAATAATAAGCATAAGAAATAAGAATGAAACCGAGACTAAGACAAAAACTGAGCTTGAGAATATGAATAAGAATACGAATGACACTAAGCATGAGATTGAGGCTGAGCATGAGAATGAAAATGAGGATGAAACTGAGCATAAGACTGAGAAAGAAAATTAGCACGAGACTGAGACCAAGACTGGGCATGAGACTGAGACTGACAATGAGCCTGAGAATGAGATCAGGACTAAGAATGAGCCTGAGAATGAGACTGAGAATGAGACCAAGACTGAGAATGAGCCCAAGACCGATAATGAGCCTGAAAATAAGACCAAGACTAAGAATGAGCCTGAAAATGAGACCGAAAATGAAACCAAGACTGAGAATGAGCCTGAAAATGAGACCAAGACTGAGAATGAGCCTGAAAATGAGACCAAGACTGAGAATGAGCCTGAAAATGAGACTAAGACTGAGAATGGGCCTGAGAATAAGACCAAGACTAAGAATGAGCCTGAGAAGGAGAAGGAGAGTGAGAATGAGAATGAGACCAAGACTGATGATGAGAATGAGAATGAGAATGAGACCAAGCCTGAGAATGAGCCTGAGAATGAGACCAAGACTGAAAAGGAGACTGAGACCAGGATTAAGCATGGGACCGAGAATGAGAATGACGACAAATTCAGACATTGCGATATCAAAATAAAACGATTTATGCAAAATCCAAATTTTGCAACTGTTTTTGACTGAGTATATGGAGGGCCTCAGGGGTTTTAGGGAACAAGGGAACATGATCATTTATTTCACGGGACAAAGGGATATTTATGGGGTTAATTTGACGAAACAAGGAATATCTCTACTATTATAGGGAACTTTGACAAAACATTTTAGGGAAGAACGGAATTTATTAATAGGGAACAAGGGAGAAAAATAATAAAAAATTTTTACGGAATCAAGGGAATATACATTGCTATGGCATAAATCTAAGGGCAGCACTGGGAAACGTTTGTGTGAAAAATTGGTAACGATGCTTCACAGAGA